CTTGATACAGTGGAGGAGTCACAAGCAGCATGTGTTTCAGTGGCTGCACACCAAGTTCCAGCTTCCCCCAGAGGAAGGGCTGGAAGTGGGGCAGGGAGATGAGGTTAACAACTCTTCGTGGGAAGGCATGCTTGTACCACAGTAGAAGAAGGAGTGGGTCACAGATTTAGCATTCCCACCCTCTCAGCATTTTGAGGGATGAGGGCTTCCCTTGCTCTGGCTTGGGAGGCTCTCAGCACCCTCAGGTCCCAGCAAATCTCATGCTCAGGGCTGCCTTTTTAGATCTGAATGGGCAGAGACACCCAAGGTGCCTTTCCTTTGTGTTGGGCTGCACAGATTGCTATTTAATTTGTACAACAGGAAGGTATTATGACTTCCAGCCCCTAAACACAAGAAGTATGGACAGCCTGCATCAGGACACAGGCTGTGGCCCAGCATGAGAGAAGGTCACTGCTTCCAGCCTCAGTCCTTCAGCTCAGGACATCCCTCAAAAGCATGTCACAGCTACAGAACACTTCAAGGTTTGTGTGTGCGCATGTTCTGCGGTACTGTGCTCATTTGTCCCTTGCTCATTAGAAAAATAAATCAGTAGGCCCGGATTATTGCCTCAAATCCTCTCCCAAGAAAGAAGGATGGGAGCAGAAAGTTTGTAGTTTGGCAGAACACATGATTTGCAAAGAGGATTATGTTTGGTGAAAAGCAATACATTCCTGTGCTGATAAAAGGGGGATTAGCTAGACCTGAAATTCAGCATGGAGGACTGGAGACAAGTCTGTAAAGTGTCTCTCAGGCAAAATGTGCTGGCGGACCTGCCAGTTCTGTTTACCAGAGGAGGTCTGAGCTGGGCTGTCTCCAGATTCATCCCTCAGCAGCTGTGATGATGCCAGTCATGGGAAGGGGAACCATTGAGGAAAACCATTGTCACTTGGCATGTGACTGACCCATGGGACAAGGTGCTGGCTGGTGCCTTGGCCCAAGGTGTAGGAGGGTTCAGAAAGAGTTCAGATCAGTCCTGCAGGCTGGACGCTCCGCTCATTTCTCACCACACCAGCCTGGATGCAGCTGCCGCTCAGGAAAGCGTAACCCAGGGAAAGCAGCCGCAGCCCTGCCCTGTTTTTTATGTTCCTCCTGGGCTCCCCCCACCAAGCCCTAAGCTTCCTTTACCTGTGCGCAGCGTGCCAGGCGCAGGGCAGCGATTCCACGCCGAGCTCCTGCCACAGGAGGGACACCTGCAGGGCGCTCAGGGTCCGGACGTTCCCCAGAGCAAGGTCACAATGCTCAAGGAAGGCGGCAATGGGATTTATTCGGTTCGCCCTGCCTCCCTTCCGGCACAGCAGGGGAGGTGCCAGCCCCAACCCGCCCTGCAGACACTCGCTGCAGGTGTTTTCCATTCCCCATCACAACATGCCTGTGCCCGGCAGTCAGTTCCCCATTTCTACACGTGCAGGAAAAAGAGAAGAAAGCTGACATTCTAGAAATTCAGACATTTTTGCACCTCAGCTGGTTTTGGTGGTAAAATACTTTAAAATGAGTGTTCTTCAAAAGCAGTGTTGTGTACCCCTGAGCAGTGGAGTGCCCTTCACCTTGCAAGGGACTGGGAGCTGGCTGGCGATGGGCGCTTGGTGGCTGGTGCCACCTCTCTCAGGACACCTGCTGCCCACACAGTGATGCCTGTGCTGCTGGCAATACCGAGCCCAGATGCCCAGGCTGCCCAGAACAACAAAAAATCTTTGCAAGGAACAGAGAACAAAAACGGGGAAATAGATGAAGAGGAAAGAGGATGTAGGATTGATTACTGCTGACTTCTGATCTGTCTTCCCAGCATCAGGGTGTTCCTCCTCGTTGTGGTTTGGCAAACTATTTGGCTATTTTAGATGTCCATGTGTCTTCTGAACTCACAAACTGGGGGGTATGTGAGTCCTCTGACTCGACTCAAATGACTCCACATGCTTTTGTACAATATCTCATGATGGGCCAGTGTCCTTCCTCTGGGATGCTGAGAACATGTGATCAAAATATGGTTTCACTTCAGTTTTGCAGCAGGATTTGGTGATCCTTGTTGATGCCTTCCAACTCAGAATATTCTGTGAAAATCTGGTTTTCCAGCAGCTTACCACGAACAATATTGTGAGGTGACTTGAACACTTCTACGGCAAGAAATACTGCAACTAACATGGAAGGGATGGAAAAGCTGAGAACCAAGTGCTGGGGTGTGCTACTGGATTGGATCTGCTGTTGGGCTGAGGCCCAGGGTTGTGGGACATGCAGTGGTCTGTGGGGTGGGAGGTGGTTACAGGGCTCCCAGTGCGCTCCATGGAACAGGGGCTGTGTGGCACTCCAGGCACCCCAGGGTGCAGGCCCAGAGAGGCAACAGGCATCTGGAGACAAAAGAAAGACTGATCTTCTTCCCTGAATGGCAACTGCTTCCTCTGGATCCCAGCCACTCAGAGGAGTGGCAGTTCCAGCTCCAGCCTTGCTGGGTTTAAGGGATGGACTGTCTGTGCTCCCATGTCACCTCATGGGTTGCACCTCATGGGTGCAGTCAGCCATTATAGGTCCCAGGAAGCTGAGAAATCAAGTTTATTAAGTTTTTTTTCAGTGTCAGAATCATACTGCTCCCCCTCTACTACCCTAACCTTCCAGGTCAGGTCTGGCAGGCAGGGCTCCCAGGAGATGCTGCCCTCTCTGCTCCTGTCTCACCAAGCCAAGAGTGCAATAGCCAAGAATTCACAACACCATGAGTATCCCCATCCTCCAGAAGACCACATATTTTGGCTTTTGCAGCTGCATTTCTCAATTGTGCTGGCAAAAAGTGGGTAAAGTAGTTGGGTATGATCCTCTTAGGAAAGGCCATCATACTGTCTTGGAGAGTGTCATTCCATCCTGCTCTCTCCCAGCAATCCAGGCACCCACAGCCATGCTTGGGAGCTGTTGTTCCTTGGCCCTGACACGTGCTGCTGTGCAGGCTGAGGAGGGAGAGGGACTGTGACAGGCACTGGCATGTGGGAGAGGCTCTGCTGCCTATTCTTGTCCTGTAGCAAAGAGGCTGTGGAGGAGGTGAGGGAAAAGGCACTTGGGAGAATAAAAGTGCAGTGGATAAAGCTACAGCTGGCCACAGCATTGTTGTCCCTTCAAAAGAACTATTGTCTTTGCATCCTTCCTGGGGAAGCACCTGGGGCTGGCCAGGCTCTCCAGATCTTCCACAGCTGGCCTGGAGCGGAGACAGAGCACCAAGCACCTGGAGGAGAGATGTGGGGCTGAGGAGAGTGTGGGCTCTTGCTCCTATAAAGATGCTGACCTGGCATATCCCATGGACCACCCCCTCAAAATCCTCTGGGATTTCTTTTCTTTTGCCTTCCTGCAATGTGGAGGCTCATCTCCTCATCTGTCCTGTCACACAAGGAGGGATGTGGATGCAGTGATGCTCATTACTGCTGCTCTGCTTGCCAGGGGCTGGTATGGAGGCCCAGCAGAGAAGCTCATGCTTGGACACTGTCCCAGTGGGACTAAAACAGTCTGGCTCTTTTAACAAGGGGCTTCCTTGCTTGCAAAGACTGGGTTTCACTGGGATTTTAACCACCAAGTCGTGGGGAACCCTCTGTGCTCCTTGCACCACCCCACCTTACCTACAGGGAGGAGGGTGGACTGTTACCCGCTCTGCACCTGCCCAGAGGGCACAGAGAGACGAACGATGATCAGAGAGCTTTAGCAGCTTGAGTGTTGCTTGCTGCCTGGCAGTTACCTCTGCTGGCAAGCTGCTGGCCCTCCCCAAGGGCAGCTGAGGGGGACAGCAGCAGCGCCAGGACATCCCTCGGCTGCAGGGCACTGATACCGCTGCTGCCAAGAGCCCCAGTGCCCCGGCTGCAGCCAGGGCCGGTGCAGCTCTGTGGGGCTCTTGTTGACCTGGAGCCCTCAGAGCTGCAGGGTCGGCCTGGCACAGCTCTGCCTGTCTTGGCAGCTGCACCTCGGCGGTGCCGCGTGTCCCTGCTCTGATAGCAGCCCTGCCCGGGAGCCCCTGCTTTTATCTGCGGGTCAGGGCGGCTGTGGCTGCCTCTGTGGCAGGGGGGCCGCGGGGCTGGGCCCTCCAGCAGTGTACAAACAAGCTCAGGATGTGAACACAATAGCCAAGGACCGGCCTTTGAAAAGCAGGGGGACGCGGTGTGGCCGCCCTGGGGCACATCAAAGTCAGTCTCACTTTGCACTGCTGAAAAAGCCCGTGTGTTTGATGGCTACCCATGGACTGGCCCCGGCACAAGGGGCCAAGGGTTTGGGTGAGGGGAAGTGGAAAGGGAAAAGAAATCAGCAGGGAGAGAACACAGGAGCTGGGACGCAGTCATGTGGGTCTCTTCCTCGAAAACCTGGGCCTGTCATGAATTCCCTTGGTCCACTTTGTTCTGGCTCTTGCTATATCTGGAGTGTAGCACACAGCCCCTCTTTCTCCTTTTTCAGTGCACCTCCAGGCAGGTCACTTTTCCAAAGTGCTTCATGTGCAATTTTGTAAGCACTTCTTTTGAATCAGCATTTGCTACAGCTGAGGGCTGTTGGGGTTTTTCCTTCCAGACTTGGTGGTTACAATCCTAGAAAACCAGACCTACAATGTGGTGTTTTGCTCAAGAAGGCCAGCAGGAAAGTTACTCTTACTTAACAGCCTTGGGAACAGCTCTGTGCAGTGCCTTGAACAGAGCCATGGAAGGACACGAAGATATGGTGGGAGTGATTTGTTTGGTATGCTGGACATGTGCCTGCCCGGGGGTCCTGCAGTACCTGCTGTACCTCTCTGGCAGGACCTGGTCCTGCAAGAATCCCTGGCTGCTCACTCCCGTGCCCCCAAAGGGCCTGGAAAACCCGGGAAAGTTTTGCCTCCGATTTGCTCTGCAGCGTGTGCACGCGTTGCTGCTTTTGGATAAAAGACAGCCTGAGCCTGCTCAGTGGGAACCACCCTTATACTGTCCCACTGATAAGGGGACATGTTGACTTAAGATATTAGAACTGTCCACTGCTTTGCTCTTTTATAATGTGCATTTATTGGTTAAGAGCAGTGCAAAGGACACAGGAAATACACGACATGAAAAAGCCAGTACCGTGTGCAGCATTGCCGGCTCTGAGGAAGAAAAGGTGTCCCTAAGAGGGCTGGGTGATGGTTCTGCTCTTGGGAAAAGGCTGCAGCCTGCAGGTGCTGGCCTCAGGCATGTGGGAGCAGCAGGCAAAGCCGGTGCCTCCTCTGTGGATTTGTGATTGAAGGGGTCTCGTGGCCCTTCTTCTCTTGATGCCATTGTCAGGGTAATTAAATGCTCCCAGGCAGGTGCCAGAGCCTCTTGCAAACTGAGAGTTGGCTTTGTCTTGTTAACCTGCTGGAAATACTTTGTTTTAGGGTGGATTAATCTTTCATAGCAATATCTGCAAGCAAAGAGGGGGCTTTAATTGGGGTGGGATTAGCAAAATTGGGCTGGACAGGGGGAGCAGGAGCTTTCTCACTACCTGCTAATTGCCTTCTCTCTGCATTGGTGGCAGCTGCGACAGGCATCCTTTGGGATTAACACATGGCAGGGCTGGGCTCTTGCTCTCTGGGTAAAGCTGGTTTTACCCTAGGGGAAAAAAAAAATAAATCACTTTGTATCTTTGTCTTGATGTGGCCTGAGAGTCAAAGCCTTTCCTGCAGCTAGAAAAACTCTCAGGTCAAACTAATGGAAACAACTTCCCCTGCCCTCTTCCCCACTCCTCCAGTGAATAGTGGGCTGTGTTTGGTTTTAGCTCCTGACTTTTAGTCATCTGTGATCTGTAAAGGCATGGTCAGCAGGACTGTTTCTAACACCAGCCTCTCCTTTAGCTCTGCTTGGCTCAGTATGTCCACGAGAACTGCCCTGGAGGGCTGCTGAGCCCCCTGTGCTAGTGCAGGCTCCCTCCTCAGCCTCATGCCATCACAGAGTTTGCTGACTGCCATTACCCCTCCCTGGAGAAAGCACCTTTCTTTGCCTGTGCACATCCCGGTGGCTTTCATGGCAGATGTGAATTTGGAGGTTTTATTTATTACTCAGTGATGCAAACATGGCAAAGGGGCCCAGGGTGATGTGCACCTCTCCTAGTGCTGCTCCAGCCCTCCCTTCTCTTCCTCATCATTGGAGACTGGGGCTGAAAGGCCTTGTCCCTGTGCTTTATCCCACAGCAGGGACTTGGGGAAGAAGTGACACCCAGGAGAGAGGCTTGTCCAGGGCTGAGTGTTGCTTGGCTGTCAGCAAGAACTGGTGATGCTGGGCTCCCACCATCCTCTGCCTCAGCTCCCTGCGCCCCACAGAGTGCTGTGCTCACAGGTGTGGATGCCAGCCAGGTGGGCAAACCCATGTCCCACACATGTACATCACATGTGTGCATGCACATGTACGCCCCTACCCACACATGCCTCCAACACGAGTGTGCCCACACCTCTCCAGGCATGTCCATCCCCTCCCATCCCTCCTGCCAAAGCAGGAGGGAGCAGGCAGCAGGTGGGAGGGCTTGCCCAGCACCTTGGTGTGGATCTGGCACTGGTAGAGGTGACAGGAAAGGAAGGGAAAGTGTTTTTCTTTTTTCCCCTTGAGCTGTACTTGGGATGCTTTCCCACCTGCATTGGGGACAGCTGAAGAAGTCCCACCAAGGGCTGAAGGCTTACCCCAAGCAGGTGGTACTACTCCCTATGCCTGACTTAGGTGCTTGTGGGTGACCCCATGGGGTGGCTGAGGCTGTTGGGTGAGTATCACGGAGCTGGGAAGGCTCAGGGTCATCAGGGGAGCAGCACCTCCCTTCCACAAACACAGTGTCTCTACTGTCCATCTGACTTTTTCAAGCCTCAGCATTTTCCCCTGCGAGCTTCTTGCAAGACAGACGAGTATGAAAATAAAGCTCCTGACCAAAGAAAACGCTCACAGCCCTCTCAGAGGGTGTGTTAAGCTCGTCATTCACCAAAAGCAAACATCAGGAGTGACGTGGTTACTTTAGGTAGCTGTAGCAGAAAAAGGCCCCTCTGTTTTTCAAACAAGGTGCCTTTTCATTCAGAGGTTGGGGGCGGCTCTGAGAAACCAGTGGCATGTCACTGGGACACCCACTGGAAATGCAGATGTTACCTTGCGGCAGGAAAAGGCTTCTTTGCATCCAAGGCCTTGGAGCAGGCAGGAAGCAGCTCCCAGGAGTCCTGACCGTGGTATTTCCACAGGATCCCCAGCCAGGCTGGGAGCGCTGGCTGTTTGTTCATCCCCTTTGAAGGACACAAAGCCCTCATCATGCTGAGCCCCACAGCTTGGTCACTTCCCTCCTGGCCCAGGGCAGCACCAGACATGGAACTGCTGGGAGGAAAAGCAAACACAAAGGGGGCCAGAAGGGCTGGACAGAAGACAGGGGTGTTATCAGGTGCCCCATCTGTGAGGCTCTGTTGAAATGGGAGGAGAAGGGCTGGGGCCATGAAAGCTGCTGTGATGGCCTTGATCCAAATCATGGAAAGGTTTCATCCAGCTTTGGTTGGACTTCTTCTCATGGGCTCCCCTTCCTCTCAAACCAGGGACAGGCCCCACCATCCTCTTCCACTTCTCTGTCTGGGGGATGACCTGTGGAATGCTGGGCATTGCAAAGGGCAGCCCCCTGCCCTGGGGAGCCCCTTTGGTCATCTGTGGGGTCAGGGGACCCTTGGGTGGGCCAGTACCCCAGGAATAGTTTGGAATCATGATTGAGGCTATGGCATGGGTGATAAGCCAGCCTGTGGGGAAGAGTTCCACTCTTGGGGGCACACCCATCCCAGCTGATTGCAGTTTATATGCACTGTACAAGATCCTAGATAGTACAGAAAGTCACATACACGTTTATGGGTGTGTGTGTGTACATTGTGTGTGGCTTTTCTGTGAACATACGCACATGGTCAAATGATCTCAGCAGTTTTGGGAAGAGGTGTCTTGCTGACCTGAACTGCAGCTGGGCTGCTGAGGGCTCACAAGCCAGTTCCCTACGGGGTGACCTCTTTCTGTGCTCCGGGACAGACACAGTGACATCCTGGTTGTGCCAATGTCTCAGTTCTCTTCCTAGCCTGGCAGTCAGGCTGGCAGCATCTGTGGTGGCACAGATGGGAAGGGACAGGAGGGTCCCTGGGGCTGTCACCAGGGCTGTGGACAGGAGCTGGTCCCCCAGCTGTGGCAGAGCAGTGTTTCTGAGGACTGGAGCATGGGGAGATTTTTCCCACACACCCTCTGCAGCACTCCTGCTTCCCAAGAAGGTTAGACATCCGGGCCTGGCTTTTTGGTGAAACAGTGAGCTGTTCTGGTTAGCAAAACCCCAGCTCTGCCCTGTGCCCCACCGTGTGCAGCCCTCTGCCACTCTCACCCCACAATCTCTGCCCCACAGCCACCTCCTGGGAGTGTCCCATCACCCATGGCCCAGCAGGAGATGTGGAGGCTGGGGTCTCTAACAGGAATGATTCTGATTGCCTCTTTTCCCTGCCCAGAAGGGGAAGCTGCAGCAGGAAGGACTCCCACCCCAAACCTCTCCAAGGCCAGCATTTTCCTGCTGACCTTGAGGCAGAGACTGGAGACAGCCAGCTGGCTTCCAGGACAGTATCCCCCTCTTCTAAAATGCCAGCTTGGTCTCTAAATAACACCTGGCATGGATCTGTCCCCAGGCACCAGAGCAATGAGAGACTGAGCCCTGAATACCCTCATGCTGCAGGACTCATGCCCCGTTTTACAGCTGGGGAAACTGAGGTACAGTGGGGTCCCTGACTCTGCCTTGCAGCAAGCTCGTGATGCAGCCCTGTGTGTTTGCAGGGCCCTGGGAAGTGTTTTCCAGTGGCAGAGTTCTGGTCCTCACTGGAAGGGGAGGATTTGTGGAGGGCTGTTGCCCTGCCAGGGGGTCCACACTTTCTCCCAGCCCAGCTGTGCTGTCAGGGCAGCCCAGGAAGCTTCACCTGCCCAGAGGAGGGATCCAGAGGGACCCAGTGTCTCACACCCCTGCAGCAGCCCCCCTGCCCCCATCACCCAGTGCCCCTCCTGGCCATATCTCCCAGGGATGGTGGAGCTGCCTCCTGGGGCAATCAGTGGGCAGCACATGGGCCTTATCTACGGGCCAGCTGTGGGAAGGGCTCCCTGCCATCCCTATCAGATGGGCGGCTCCAGACCTGGGGCAGAGGGGAGCCAGCCCCATTCCTGCTGTGCTGGGGCCAGGGCTGGGGGCACTGTGACTGCCCATTGCAGGGGGATGCTCAGAGTTCTGGGACCCCTCTCCAGCCTAGTGGGCAGTGTTGCTGTGACACTGACAGATTTGCAGGGGTCCAGCCAAGGCCATTGAGTTAGGCAGTTGTGGATTGTGTTGGAATGTTGAAGGCAGATGGTGGCAGCAGTCTTATTACTGCCAGCAGAATCCACATCCCTCATCCACTTCCACCAAACTCTCAGCAGCAATTTCCTCACCAGGGAGATGCTTGCAGGGCTGAGGGGGGCTCAAAGGGCCAGCACCATGGAAAAGGCTTTCCTGCCCTTTCACAAGTCTGATAGACCTTTGTGTTTTATTTATTTCTGTGGTTGTGCCACCCTCCTGTTCCCAGTGGCTCAGCAGAGTGCTGCTGGAAAACTGGTGGGGTGGGGATGCTGACTCTCTCCTAAACCCCAGGGTCATCTGTGTCCATGCAAAGCATGGGCATCCCTTTGAGGAGGTGCCTGTGGAGTGTGGTTTTCCCCAGAGGTGGGTGCCAGGCATCCCCCCACACTATGGGGTGCCAATGCTCTCAGGGGGCTGGTCCTGCCTGGCACAGGGACTGGGCAGAGCGTGGGAGGTCCCTTGGGAGAGGGAGCATCCTGGCTGCTCTGTGCCTCTGAGCAGGGTCTGTCCCTCTGTGTCCTGTGACAGCAGTGACCATGGATCACCAAAAGCTCAGGGTGCAGATCTTTATTGTCCACTTGTCTGGCTGTGCCACAGCCTGAGCTGGGCACGGGTTTCTCACTCCCCAGCATCCCAATCATCCACCGTGGCCTCAGGCTCTGGGTGGGAGAGGAGAGTATGAGAAGGAATGTGTTTTGGTCTCCTACCAGCTCCTACCAAGGATATAAATGAGGAGTTTTCTTCCCTGCCATGTCCTGGCCATGGGGAAGGTGGTGATGGTCAGCTGGGAGCCTGTGCCCACCAAGGTCAGCCCCTCTGGCCATAACCACAGGGAATTAGAGATGGGTGGAAAACTGTCTAAACCCCATACAAATATTTGCATTTTTAGGGCTTTTCCAAGTATTGGGGAGTGCTGACACAGCAGCAGTGTGGGAGAGCTGGCATACTGAGAGGGTCTGCTTGGCTTTTTTTGGGGGCAGGGAGAAGCAGGATTTCCATGGTCAAATAGTTTTGTTTAAAATAAGAAAAAAAAAGCTAAATGAGCAAATGGGGAGAATTTCCAGCACTGCTGCAGGTTTCTCTGCCAGCTCCTTGGGGCTAAACAGCCACCCTGATGCTGAGTGGACCACAAACCTTCAAACCACCCCTTGCCCTGGATTGGGGGTGTATGGTTCCCATCTCTCTGTTCTTTTTTTCCTTCTCTGCTGAAAGGGGTTTTGGCAGGAAAGGGAGTCCCTGTGGCTGCTCTGTCCTGAAGCATTCTGAAGGTCTGGGGCTGAGGTAGAACTGGTGGGAGCCTGACCCATCTATTGCCCCCCATGCCCATGCCAGGGGATGCTTTTGGCCGTGGTAGCAGCCTGTTTGGAGAACCCTGACTGGGGAACAAGGGTGGCCATGGGCCCTGGTGGCTTCAGGACCATACATCCCAGGCACAGATAGGGGCTGGAACAAGGGAGCAGTTGGAAGGACTCTGGGCTCTCCCATCCCACTGCATTCCCCCTCTCCACACCCATTTCCGCCAGCTCCTGGGGCAGGTTGAAGCAAGCAAGGAGCAGGCACGTCCTGTCCTGCTGGTGCAGGGGGGGCTCAGCACCTTGGGCTGCAGGGTGAGAGCCCTCCATGTGCCCAGGGGACAGTTCTGGGGTGGTGGCACCCAGACTCCCAATAACTGTCCACAGCAGGACAGTGTGTGGGTGTGTCCTGGCCCCATGCGGGTGTCTTGGGCACGGTGATGGGGCTGGGGGCTCAGTGCAGGTGGGTCACTGCTGTGGGTGTCACTGGTGGGGATGCAGAGGGGAGTGTGTGCACAAGTGGAGCCTTCCTTGCACACCTGTGCATGTGTGCTGGGGCTCACTCACGCAGAGCATCAATGTGTGGGGCTGCCCTCTGCTCTGGGCTAGGGGCCCAGCCGTGTTCTGCATCCCCCTCACGGGCTGGCAGGTTGCTCCATGCCCCGCAGCTGTACTGGCACCTTGGGGTGTGCTGTGCTTGGGGAATGCAGGGGACCAGGGCTCAGTCAGGCTCAGGTACCACCGGAGTGGCCAGAAGGATCATCATGGTGCTACAGCAGTGAGTCAGGGACAGCCAGACACAGGTGTGGTGGGCAAGGGGACTGGCATGTGCCCCTGTGCAGCGGGCACCCGTGGCTGGTGCTGGCCCTGGGCTATGCCAGGCAGGGGAAGAGGCTCCTGCACGTGTCTGGGCAGTGCAGCACGTGTGGCTGCCTGCTGGGGCTGGGCTCTGCTTCCCTGGGGCCAGGGATACGTGCAGATCATCCCAGTGCTGATGGACCCCGGGGGATGAGCACCAGGTGGATGAGCAGGACAGCAAGACTGCCCTGACATAGCCTGCAGTGGCTGTCACATAAAGGCCAGCGCAGCAGATGTCACAGGAGCTGACGTGTTTCTTCAGCCATAGGCAATGCGGTGATACAGGGGGGCTGGGTGGGGGGCCCCCATTGGTCCCATGCATGCTGTGGGGCCAGGAGCAGCCATGGTGAGGGGTCTGCTGGTGCAAAGTGTGGGCAATTGTGTGTGTGAATGTGAGTGCAGAGGGCTGGGTGTGCAGCACGCGCTGTGTCAGGTTAAGTTACAGCATATAGAACAGGAAAGAGCATGTACAGTGTATGGGGACAGGGATACGGGGCTTGGTTAATGGGGCTGAGAGGAGGGGAGGGCCAGGTGTGCACAGTTCTCACAGGACTCCCTCCTCCTTCATCCCACTCCCTCCCACTGAAGCATCCACACCCATTCCCTCCTCCCGACCCCTCCCCACCATCCCATTCCCATGACAACAGCAGCATCCTGCTCCTACAGCAAGGTGCAGAGACCCCATCTGGGGCCCTGGTGCCACTCTGGCTGCAGCAGGAGGTCCCTGCCAGAGGGGCAAAGGGTGGCGCTTCCAAGGGGACCCAGTATAAACCAGAACTCATTTTCCTTGGTGCATTGGGAGAATGCCCAGAGCTGTGGACACCCCTGGAACCCACGATGATTCTGGGATCCATCTAAGACAAGGGTACGCTGCTCCCCTGCCTGACCCCCAGCTCCCCACTCAGATTGTTCCCTCCAGCCCCCTGGTCCCCTCCCCAGGCCGGGGCTCTGTTGCTGTCCCCAGGCCAGGGCTCTGAGCGCTGGCCAGCCCTGCCCTCTAGCGCCCCTGAGCTGCTCCGTGCAGGACTCAGCCCCGGCTTCCTGGAGCTGGGACACCCGGAGTCCTCGCAGGGCCCGCGGAGCAGAGCAGGGGCTGGCAGCCTCCCCACGGCACCACCTCCCACCCCGACACTGCTGCTGAGGGGACATGAGGACACTCATGAGGGGACACGAGGACACATCCCGGAGCCTCCAGAGCACCACCAGCCATGTCCGCGCTGCCGAGGGCGCAGCGGTGTCACCCCAGCACAGGCGCCCTGCGCCCCGGGCCTTGGCACACGCGGGCGTGCCCGGTCGGGTGACAATTGCCTTCCCGGCAGCCCGGGTCGATAACCTGGTGGCCAAAGCACTCGGAGGGCCGGGACGGCCACGCCAATGGGTGCCCGCGGCTGCGGGAGAGGGAGGGAGGCTCTGCAGGCTCTGGTTAAACTGGAACGAGGCGCGGCATCGTCCCGCGGTCCCTGCCCTGGGGACTCTGACCCCGTGGGTCGGCCAGGGGAGCTGAGGCAGGCGGTGACGAGCAGCCCCACAGCCACTGGGACGGAACCAGCGAGGAGCCGAACAGGATGGATCCCACTTTGGAGCTGGCAGATGATCCCAGGTGAGTGCTGGAGACTCCTGTGCCGTTTTGCAGCCGGGCAAATCCAGCTTTTTGGATCGGATCTTTGTAAAGTTCCGATTCATTCCCTCTGTAAAGGAAGGGAGGCGCTTGGTGGTGAGGCAAACCAGCCAGGGGATTGCTCGGACCCTGCAGGGCCAGGTGTTCCCCGTGTCCCTGTGGCCCCGTGCAGCACTCCTGGTTCTGCTCCGCAGGTTCTCCCGCCCTTTGGTGGAGATGCTGATCAGGAACTTCAGCGTGCCGGCCGCCTGCTTCTCCCTGCCACCCACCTCCCGGCAGCTGCTGCACCGTAGGTGGGGGGACGGGGTGGGCAGGACCCTCCTGTTGTCACTGGCGAGAGCAGGACAGGGATGAAGGTGGTAAGGTGGCCGAGGCAAGTGCAGGCACAGAGCAGCCCCAGAAGTCAGAAACTGGGCTGCTGCCAGGGTCTTGGCCTTCCATCCCATAGTCCTGCCTGTAGGGATGGGGACAGCCCAGGAAGGGCCAGCACTGGGGCAGGTGTCATGGGGAACAGTGGTGCAGAAGAGCCAGCTCTGGCACAGGCAGGCATGTCCAGGGCGTGGCACAGAGCTTCCTAAACCTGGGCAGTGGTGGGTCGAGGGGCAGCTCCCTGTAGTAGTGGCCCCAGGAGGGACCAGACAGGATGAAGACAGCTTCTCACCCCTCCCCGGCAGAGCTGGACATGGCCCAACTCATCATCCTGGGCCTCTGCACCATCATGACACTGCTGTCGGTTGTGATCTACGTGGAAGAGGTTTCGTACCTCTTCCGCAAGATCCGCTGCCCTATCAAGATGAAGACCCTCTGCTGGAGCAGCTCAGCTCCTACGGTGAGCTGGGCTCTGGGGTGCTCGGGGGCATCGCCCTGGGGGGCCAGGGCCACCCAAGGGGTGGCAGCCCACAGGAGGGGGGAGTGCCAGTGTGCCAAGCTCACGTGTCCCCCAGGTTGTGTCAGTGATCAGCTGCTTTGGCCTGTGGTTCCCGCGCTCCATGATGGTGGTGGAGATGGCTACCACGGCGTGAGTATCACCCACCCTGGGACAGGGCACCACTGAGCCCACAGGGCTTGACCTCCCTTCCTCCTCCTCCCCAGGTACTTTGCTGTCTGCTTCTACCTGCTGATGATGGTGATGGTGGAGGGCTTTGGGGGGAAGGAAGCACTGCTCAGCACCCTGAAGGATGTGCCCATGGTGGTCAGCACTGGGCCCTGCTGCTGCTGCTGCCCGTGCCTGCCCAAAATCACCATGACCAGGTGAGGGGGAGCTGGGATAAACCTCTGCCCCTGGAGGGCTTTCACCCCGTGCTGCTGCTGGGCTGGAAGACAATTCCCTGGGCAGGGACTTGAGGACTTCAGAGTGCTACTGGTTTCTCTCCCCATGCCAGGAAAAAGCTTAAATTGATGATCCTGGGGACTTTCCAGTACGCCTTCTTCAAGGCAGTCGCTGTCTTCCTGGGGCTGATCCTGGCCACCGATGGGAATTACAACCCTGCTGATGTGAGTGCCAGAGCACAGGGATGGGCAGGTTTATGACCTAGACAGGAAGCCTCCACCTGAACTTTGTCAGCCCAGTAATGTTTTCTGTGTGTCCCCCTCAGATTTCAGGGGAGAGCGTGGCCCTCTGGATCAACACCTTGGTTGGTGCCTCTGCCCTCTTTGGGCTGTGGGGCCTGGGCATCCTCTTCCGGCAGGCCCGGCTGCACCTGGCTGAGCAGAACATGCAGGCCAAGTTTACCTGTTTCCAGGTGAGCTCCCGTCCTGCCCAGCTCCCTCCTAGGTGAGGGGGTTCTGCAGCACTGCGGGCTGAGGCAGCATGAGGGAAGCTGGTGGGGCAGGAGCCACTGCTGGGTGAGAGCGCTGCTGGCTGCAGGACAGGGGGAAGGTGAAGGCTGAGAGCTGGGCAGTGGCACAGCCCTCACAGCAGGGTGTTGGCGGTCGCAGATCCTGCTCCTCCTGACGGCACTCCAGCCTGCCATCTTCAGCATCCTGGCCAACAATGGCAGCATTGCCTGCTCACCACCCTTCTCCTCCAAGGCCAGGTCGCAGCGTAAGTAGGGAGATGAGAGAGCAGCACACCCAGCCAGGCCCCTCCATCACGTGGATGGCATGGGGGGTGGGCATGGTGGCTGAGGGCAGCTTCAAATGACCCGTCTCCTGTTCCAGAGATGAACGTGCAGCTGCTGATCCCGCAGACCTTCATCCTGGCGGTGCTGACACGGATGTATTACCGCAAGCAGGACGACAAACCAGGCTACCAGCCCGTCAGCTTCGCTCCCACAGGCGCCGATGCCAAGGCGTGAGCAGGAGGGACAAACTGGGGTGCCAGAGGCAGAGTGGGGTGAGGGGCTGGTCTACCCTGCACAACCTTCTCCTCCTCCCCTGGCCCTGGGGAGCTGCTGGCAGCAGGAGAGGCAGGAGGGGAAAGAGCATCTTGGGACAGAATGAAAGGTTTGAAACTTAAAAGTCATAAACCAGGGGGGTCCATGGAGCCACCTCCAGCCCAGGGGCTCTTGTCTAGCACTGAGTAAAGATAAATTTTTACATGAGTCTTGCGTTGGTGACTGGCTTCATATTATCTCTGCCTAGGCTGGGTGGGAGATGACTCCATACAGAAGGAGAAGGATGGAGCCCAGACTAACACAGCCATGGCATGGGACTGTCACAGGATGCCCAACATCCAGCTGTGACACTGAGCTCTGGGTGCTGCTGGCTGGGGTCCCACAGCCAAAGTGAGCCCAGGCCAGTGGTGATTTCTCCTGAGATATCAGGATGGGTCTGACCTGTCCCTGGGCCTGTTCTCCATGGGACTGGCTGCTCCTGAAAGCACACAGGGAGCATCCACACCTGCCAGTTAGGTGCCAGGCAAAGGAAGAAGCCTTGAAGCACCTTCATAACACTGGGAATTAGTCAATGCTGCCTTAACCAGCCTCAGTTCAGTACCAGTATCTGCTCTAGACACGGGGATGGACATCAGGAGCAATAACAATTTGCAGAAACCACTGGGTAATCTTTTGACCCCAAGTGTTCATTACAGATGCCAGAAGCACAACTCAGACCATGGTTTCAAATGAGCAGATCACATGTTAAAAACAGTAGCAGCATTCTCCAATGCTCTTGCTTCTACCACCATCCCTGGTCCTTCTCAATTCTGTCCTGTTGCTGCTGTTTGCCATCAGAAAATCCTTTTCAGGGGCTCGCACCCCAGATCTACAGAGGAAGCGAAATGGGGCTGTTTCACAAGAGTAGATGCCTCTAGAGTTGGCAGCATCAAACTCCACAGGGATCTTCACTGCATGCTAGTAAACTTTTGTTTTTCCACTGCACCTTTTACTTCATGTCTCTTCTGGATGCTTCTTTTGAAGAGCAGGGGATGGCTTAGAGTTGTGCAGAACAGCCCAAGCAGCAGCACTGGGTGTATCTGTGGGAATGAAATGACCCTGGGGAACTTGGCTCATGTTTTACTGAAAGATCAAGCTCCTACCTATTCCTGATAAAATATGACAGTGCTGGAGAAGACTGGTCCAGCAATCCAGGAGAAAACAAAACAAAGGAAAAATAAAGGGCTAGACTGGGATTTCAGTGTCCAATTTAATTTCAGTGCAAGGAGGAAGCAGAGATTATTGGTTACAAGAAACAGCTCTGTTATTCCAAGCTACATGTAAAACCATGGCTGGCTTCTTACCAAGCACCCCAGAATTTGCAAAGAGACCAAGCTTGCTAAGGTCTCTGCACAACAAGCCACAATCCAGAACATTATGGATACCCAAACTTACAGAACACTGTTGCATAACTTGTGTTTAAAACAGTAGTAAGGCTCTAAAGCAGCCTGGCCTTTGTGATCTGGCTCAGGGAAGCAACCGCAACACCCATACTGACGAAAAGGTGAGGAAGGGAAAATGAGGGAAGAGACAGTGTGAGTGATACAAAGGAATTGTTCTACCACTCATAAACCAGAGGATTAACAACTGGCTTCTACCACGTGACTGTTATTTGCTCCTTACAGTTTAAAATCCACGGCAGCCAGCCATGCTCCCACAGCTGTGCACATCCCTGCTGAAAGAGGTCCAAGTGGCAGATTAGTGATCCCCAAAATACCCTTTCCCATACTGGTTCTGGCTTCAAGAGAAGCACACAACCTCTGTCAAGCACTTTGGGCAGTGTGACAAAAGACCATCAAGACAGAAGCTGGAAAGAAGCTGCAGCCTATTCCTACCCCAGGGCCACCACATGCTCTGGAAGCATCACAGTGTGCAGAGCTTGTGGCAGCACTTGACGAGTTTCTTCCTTGCACGTGCTCTCCCCAAGCGTCACATCCTGCTCTGGAGACCTCCCAGCAGCACTGCTGACAGGGCTCTGAGCTCTCCTCTGTTCACAGCACCACAGGATACAGGCAACTCAGCCCAGCAGCTCCACCCAGAGACAGTGGGTATCAGAGGCAAACCCTGGCAGAAAAGCTCCACAGCTACATGACAGCAAGGCTAGTTTCTCCAGTGCTGGCTGCAGGACAGGGTGCTGGATCTGCTCTGCTCAGCCATGAGGAGGGCAAGTCCCCTTGGGAGCCACAGGCCACAAAGCTTAGTGTGTATCACAGACACAACAGCAGGCACAACTTGGACCATGGACTCACACAAGCATTGCATTTAAATAACCTTAAAAAGCTGCAGCACTCTCTGATGCTCCTTCCATCCTGCCTCATGGAGTAGAGTGAGCAGGCATGGATTTGTGCATGTACTGCACAAGCCAGGTAACTGTCACACAGAACTGGGGCCCTTCATCTGTCCAGCTGCACACACTGACAGCAGCAGCAGCAAACTGGCTGCTTTGCCCTTAGAGCAGCGACTTCATGGCACCAGTGTGAAGGACTCCTCCAGCCCCTACAGCACAGCAACTGAAACACAGACAAACACACACAGAGCATGGTGCTGAGGGACCGTTTGGACAGACACTAAAATGTGTAACTCACCACAGACTGGAACAAGGAACTTCTCAAAAGACTAGACACATTCATTTCCTACCTGGGCTCTCACACCCAAGGAAATGTACAACAGCAAATGCCCTGAAGCAAAGATTCATTCTCTTCTCTTCTCTCCAACAGCAACTGAGGGCTCAATTTTAGCTCAGGATTTAGCAGTCTTGTTAAGATTAGCTGGAAAGGCCTTTCCCCTGCAGCCCCTCTACAGTTTGGAGCTGTGAATGCTGTGCACTTTACGGGGTGTACCACTCTACAGTGCTGCAAGTCCTCCCCAGGTGTAACTCCTGCGTGCCAAGCTGGTACCCCTGCCCAGCACGTCCTCACTGCAACACACTGGGAAGCTCAGTTAAGAGGCATGTGAGCACTACAGGGTCTGCTGGAGAGATTCCTGTCAGCTCCAGCCCAGCAGGGATGTCTCTATTTCCTAGAAGCCTCATTACACCACTGCTTTGTGCATGCTCTCGAGGTCATGCTGGTTGAGGAACTGAAGGGTCTTTCGTTTGGCAGTGGCACAGATACTGCCTGGGGGTGGGGGGGATAAGACAGAGGAGCTGAAGGAAAGAAGAGACAGATGGGTCTTCCCACTCTCTCTCTTGCTTGGAGGTTTAACAAGGGAAAAGAAACCAAAACAAAAGCCACGCTTGAGTGCTATTCCTTGCCCTTTTAACAAATATTTTCTTAAAATATAAAAACCATCTTCACCCTGGAAACCGCTAGAACGTAAACAATAAAAAGGGGATTTGGGGAGAAGGGAGAGGAGGTTTGAATGTGCTTCCAGGCAGCAGCCCTTGCTATGAGCAACGGGTGCCTCCAAGGCCCTGTGCTCAGCCATCAGCCCTGTTCCTATGGCTCTCTTGCTCGTTTAGAGTTCCCCAGTGGGTCTGGACTTAGGATTCAGCGATTAGCGGCCCGCAGCAAATCCTGGCAGGTAGGTTAATCCTCTTCATCCTCACTGATGTCATAGGTGACTGCAGACTCGTTCCTGGAGCGGTTGGCAGGGGAGGAAGGAGGAGTCTTGGTGGAAAAGGGCCAGCGGAAGGAGGGAGATGGGGAACGGTCGTGTGTGGGGCTGCTGCTGGGACTCTGCTTTGGGCTGATGGCCTGCAGCATCCGGCCCTTGCCCTCCTTCAGCATGTGTTTCTGGAGAGGGAAGCAGGAGGACTGTTAGCATGGGTTACATACTCATGGACATGGACACTACTTACAGCCTGTGCAGCATTTTGAGTCATGCCCCTTCAGAACTTCATGCTATTTAAGAGCAGAAAAAGCCCCAGCATCACTCTGGGCTTTGGAAACTGCACACAGTGTCATCACCAATCGTTTTCAAGCACTTCTAACATGAAATACCTGTGGTATTCACCCAACAGTGCAGGAAAGCCTGGCATAAACAACTAGCTTCAGACTCATCTTAGGCCAATGACAAAGTGGCCACCATCCTCTTGGCAGCTCAGTGGTCAGCAGGGCACAAACTGGAGTTTACAGGCCAGCTCGTGGGACAGGGGAATATTTTCACTCTACAATGTAACTGGCATTATCTCGTTGGCAATGGTGAGTACTCCCTGAAAACAGGCTGCCCAAGCCTGGGACAACTTGTCTGGAGACTGGCAGAACACTGAGCACTGCAACAAAAGCCAAACCTTTCCTCTGCAGACTCTGTAGAAGCCCCACAATGTCTGTTAATGTCTCCAAAATTCCCTTTCCCCTTTTCCCATAGCAGCTCCTTACCAGTGCACCTTCTGGGCCAAACATCTCCAGGAAATTGCCGATGAACTCCCGGGATTTCTCTTCCCACTTCTGAATGAGATCAATACTCTTCTCTTCCACTTTCTGGACAAATTCCTTTGACTTCTCCTCTACATCCTTCACTCTCTTTTTCACCTTATCCACACGTTCCTGGAGGTGGTATTTTTTCTCCTGCACAGAGAGAGGTGGATCAGAATACAGCTCACCAGATTTGAGTGGAGGCCATCTCTGCTCTGTGTTACTACACTGAACTGCTGCTTGAGACTCGGCATCTCCATTAGCCTGGTGACACTCCTCCTTCACTTCTATGACACTTCTTTCCTAGACTACATGGCAGACACAGTGGGGCTGTGAGACCCTCTGTGGCAGGCACTGGCACAGTACACAAAGCAAGACTAAAGCCAGAGATAAGCACTATCTAATAGGAGTGCATTGAAGAGGGAAATATTTATACAGCATAGAGATTAGATTCGAGTGACTTGCTGTAGGTCTCTGCATATCACAACAGCACCAGTCTTTCTGCTGGGTGTTTTTAAACAGAGGCAGAGTTATGTGCCAAAGAGAGGCCAGGCAGCCGTTACCTCTCCTGTTTCATTGCTGTTCACAGGCACAGTATCTGAGTGATAAAAAAAAAATGTTTACGACTTTACTTCCAACATCAAAAATGTCTTCTGGCATGTACTCTTTCAGAGGGCTAGAGCTGCACAGAAGAGGATCAGGGCATATCCTTCTGTCCTACCCAAGCACTGCTGCTCCTGCAGCTCCAGGAAGGGAACAGTACAGTGGGAACAGCATCAGATTTTGTCCTAACAAATGACTCTACCCTAAGGA